TTTTTTTTTGAACAAAAATGAAATAACAAAATTGAGAGAATTAATGAGTGAGAATTGAGAGTTGAGAAAAAATTAGAGAATGAGAAGAGAATAGAGAGAGTGAAAATTGTGTTGTGTGAAAAAAATGGATTAATAGAGGGACTATTTATAGACAAAATTTAAAAATTTTAAAGGGAAAAAAAATGCATAAGGAAAAAAAAAAATTTGACAGAGGGCTGCAGCCTACAGCCCTCTGCCAAGGCCCAAGACTATTACTCACTGCCGTGAGGCAGTGAGTTAGCCCACCCAACGGTAATATTACCGTTGGGCAGGCTCGGCCTTGGGCCAAAAGTTTCAAAAAAAAAAAAAAAATGGCAGAGGGCTGCAGGCTGCAGCCCTCTGCCAAGGCTATATTACTCACTGCCTCACGGCAGTGAGTCAGCCCACCCAACGGTAATATTACCGTTGGGCAAGCTTAGCCTTGGGCCCTTGGCCCAAAAATTAAAAAAATAAAAAAATTTGGCAGAGGGCTGCAAGTTTGCAGCCTGCAGCCCTCTGCCAAGAAGGCTATTAGACTCACTGCCTCATGGCAGTGAGTCAGCCCACCCAACGGTAATATTACCGTTGGGCAGGCTTGGCCTTGGGCCAAAAGACCCAAAAAAGAAAAAAAAAATTGGGCAGCCTAGGCCTTGGGCCGAAAGACCCAAAAAAAAAAAAAAAAATTCGGGCCATTTCGGGCTATTTTCAGGCCGGGCTATTCGGGCTTTCCGGGCCGGGCTCGGGCCGCCTACGGGCTTGAAATTACGGCCCAACCCGGCCCTACACTAGGGCCGGGCCGGGCTCGGACTTGTATGGATTAGGGCCGGGCCGGGCCCCGGGCCCACAGTGACGGGCTTCGGGCCGCCCCGTCTGGCCCGGCCCAAATTTTCAGCACTAGACATAATCTTTTGCCTCATTCGTTAGCAATTTGTACCTTGTGGGCTTGCTGACATAGGCATGAGACTATGTCCGGTGAACCATAGAGTGATGTAGTCACGAGCTTCAGTTTGTCGACTCTTAGTCCCATTTTTATGAACATGTCGTAGTAGAGGATGTCAACCGTACTTCTATTGTCGACCAATATCTTCTGAACGTTGATATTACCTATCATTGCTGTCCCCACCAAAGGATCATTATTTGGGAATTAAACATGCCGGGCGTCATCGTCCGTGAAGGTTATATCCTCGCAAGTCGCATCCCCGTTTGGAACACGTTGAGGTGGGACCATAGGAGGTCACACGTGGGAGCTACAAGGACGTGTAACACTGGTAGAATCTTAATAAAATTTAGTTACTTACTTTTTAAGATATTCAGTTTATTTATTTGATAAGTTTTTTAATTAAATTTAAAAAGAAAGTAAAATATAACTTTATTTAGATTTAAATTTGAGTTAAAATTAAAAATTAGATAAAAAGAGAAATTTTCTCTCTTCTTTACCTGCAGATTTGGGCCAACCACATGGAGGTCTCCTTGTAGTGTGGCCGCCCATGTAGTAAAAGGGAATGAGAAATTTGTTTACAAAATTAAATGGGAAAATGCATTTTAATGAGATTTAAAATACAATAATAATCAATTTTCTATTGCTTTGTCTTGAAGTTAAAGCAAATGGGTTCTCCTAGTGTTCTATAAATAAGAGACAATAGAAAATTGGAAAAAAGAGTTTTTGCTCTCTATTTTTCCTAAGGTAGCCGAATTTTAGAGAGAGAAAAGAGAAAAAAAAGTTATTCCAATTCCTAGCTTCTTCACATACATGCGTTGATAGTGAAAGAATACAAAATTAGTGAGTGATTAAATCTAATATTTCTTTATTATAGCCCACACTCTAGGTCTTACAGATTTTAAGGACTAGACGAGAAAGATTCGGGTTTTTTGAGAAAGCTAAGAGCTTTGACGGTTTGTGGTCAAAGACCTCAAGTTATCCACCTAATCATTCGCTAGGTATTTATCTTTATAAATTAATATAGTTAATTTATTATTGTTAGGTATCTATCTTTATAAATTAATATAATTAATTTATTATTGCGTAAATTAATATAATCTATAGAGTATTCAAAAATTAATTTTATGAAAATTTTTTGTTATACACGATCTGCACTACCACACTTTTGCACTAAAAAAAACGTTTCGAAAACTAGCAGAAAGTTGCTCTATGTTAATCTTGAAGCCTCTGATCGTCTCTTCTAAGTGCTCTCGTCTTTGGTGCTTTTGCTCAAGCTGAGGATGTGGTGGGAGTGTCAGGACCGAGGCTACTTGACGACTTCGTGTAGGACGTGGAGCATGGACTTCACTAGAAGTGGGCACAACATTGGTTTGGGAAGCCGCTCGTTGGGTTCTTGACTTGGTCACCATGGTTGATCTTCGAGATGTCGTTGAATTCCTTTTGTTGGAAGGACGGGGGCCCTCCTTCTAGCACCAAATTATTGACGATAGATTTTTGCCAACAACCAAAAATCAAAAAGGAAAAACAAGAGTAAATCACACAAAGAAAACTAAAGTGAAAAGAGGAATTTATATTGATTTTCTCTGATAATACACGCTCGAATCGCATTCACACTCAACAATATGACTCTCAATTTTTCAGGCCCCTAATTCTTGTTCCTTTTCCATATATGTAGGCTGACCTTCTCAAGTAATTGCATCTTCGTGGGAATAATCGTCCAACCCATGTCTTCTCCTTCCGCTTTTCTCGCTACGCTCTCTTTTGGACGTAATCTCTTGCCTCCTTCGTTAGCAATCCGCACCTAGTGAGATTACTGACGTGGTAATTTTCTCTTTTTCCAATGTGGTGAAAGGAAAAGGCTGGAGGTTGGGCATTGATTTGTATCCCTCGGTCCTTGAGCACCTAGCCCAAATGCATCAAGTTGAGAGTTCCATAGGCCTGAGGTGTTGAACTTGAGATATGCTTTAAAGCTTGGGGGAATTAAGCCCGGGGTGTTGAACTTGGGGAAATTCAGCTCACGATGTTGAGCTCAGGGTGTTGAGCATACGGGAATTGGGGTTTCGGGGTACCTCATTGAATGTAATTATTGACTTGATAATTAATTGGTATAACAACTATTTGTCTAATTATTATACGAGAAAGTACACAAAATATCCATGTGTTTTGTCAAAATGCCTATTTCACCCCTCTTATTATGTAAATATTTAAAATACCCCTTGTGTTTATAAAAGAGGACCCAAAACACCTCCTTGTAAATGTCATGATTGTCCTTTTCAATTTATATTAAATGTTATTTTAGATAATGATTTAACTAAAAATGATAAATAAAAAAATTTTAAAAAATGCTGAAATAAATATTCCAATCAAAGAAATACTTTAACTATTTTAAGAGTTTTTCATTTTTTAAGGTTGATTTTATTTAACATTTTGGTTTAATAATGTTTTAAACTGTATTTAATAAAGATTGAGAAGGAAAAACATATGGTATTTAAAAAAATTCAACTGCTTCTTGGACTGTCATCATGAGTTTGTTTTTATAAATACAGAGAATGTTTTAAGAGGAGTGAAAATGGTATTTTGATAAACTATATGGAGTATTTTGAGTACCATCCCTTATTATACTGTCCGTGCTATTATTTGTTAATTCTCTTGTTTTGAAAGGTAGAGCATAACTTCAATAAAAAATAAAAAATAAAAAAAAAACACAAATCTAGAAGAGATATTATCAAAGGAAAATGACAGGCACAGTTCTTTTAGCACCACTTTTTATAAGCGAGTTAAAAGCAACCGACCCTAACGTCCAATCTTAGCCATTTCATATCATGGAACCCCACAGAAAAGCTACTTGGAATTTGTATAGAGCCAAACCCTTTGTTCAATTGATGATTTAGATTGAGCATTACCACGATTCAGATCAACTACACCTATACTCATTTCATAGGTTTGAATCACAATTCTACTTTTTTGCTCCGTCATTTCTCAAGTACATACCAGAGAAAAAAAAAAAAAAAAAAAAAAAAGGGTAAAGGATATAATGGCAAGAGGCATTTCAATCACTAAAATCGGATAAGAACAAATAAAGATTGATCTTAAATTGGCCACATAAATTATCCACCAATAAAATCAATTAGAATCCACAAATCTATCAACTTTAGGAACTTATAAATGTTTTGTTTATTAAATCAACAGCTTAGGAAGCATACATGACATCCAAAACATATCAAAATGAGAAAGGGGCAAAAGGAAAAAAAAAAAAAATCTTAAGAACAAATAACCTATTGATGAAGGTTGTAGCTTTATCAAGTGATCCGTGAAAGAGGGAAAATTTTTTAAAAAGACAACGTAAGACATCGACTTTTTTTAATTCTACAAAATGGAATATTGTATACCACAACAACTGCTGGGGACGTATTTGCTTTGTTTATACCTTGGAGCAGCATTGAATGCAAAAGCGCAGGGTGGAATGAACTCGAGAGTCAGAGAGCCATTTTTTTTTTCTTTTTTCTTTTTTTTTTTTTGCTTTCTATTCTGTATCCCTGAGGCTGCCACTTGTGAGCCACAGTTTCTTTTGGATGATGAAAACGACGTCGTCACCATCCTGGTCTGAGTCTGAACCAGTCGTTGCCACTGCTTCCCAGTGCAATGCTGCTAAATACTTCTTGACGAAATCTACCACCGACTGTTTGTCACGGATGATTATGAAACCGGTAGGCCTTAGTATGCGATCCATCTCAATCAGCAGATCCTCAGGACTGCATTCCTTCTTCTCTATGTCGGAGAATACAGTCCAAGCATGGAGTAAATCATATGTCCGGGGGTATGTTGAAAACGCTTCGCACCTACCAGAGTAAATTATCAAGTTTAAATACATGTAGATTTTGTAGGCATAGGAAATGCAGGGCCGAATCTGATGCAAAAAATTATGGGCAATATGAGATTAGCAACTCAATTTGCGTACCAGTTGTGAACAGTGCCTATAAGACCTCTGTCATAAATCAGCTTAAGTGTGTTTGGGCCATCCTCGGGGACGACGTTCATCACCCAAACGTCCTTGGTCTTCAGAGCAGCTGCAAAGGACCCCATGTTTGTTTTCATGTCCATTACGTTCCTCAAAGTGTTTGATTCAATCTTTGGGCTCAACAGATCCCAATAATTCTCGACTCTTTGTCGCCAAGTTTCCTGCACAACGTTAGTGAGATAAGCGATGAAGTCATGCTCAAGATATGCAAAGCAATCCAACACATGTAAATGACTCTGAGTCTTTAATTACCGTGTCCTTTACAAACATGTCATTTGAGTAGCCAAAATCAGCAAGTCGCGGAGGAGGATCAGTCAATCTCTGCGGCCAAGGAGCCAACCCACTACCCTTGACTCTATGATCATCTGAGAGAACCAAGAACCATTTGTCAGCAAACGGATTATCCTAACAATTGTTTTCAATCAAAGCTATCTTTTTACAAGCTTCTTGATGAGTTTTTCCACTAACAAGGTGGTTCGACAAAAGCACCTCTCATAGGCAGAATACGCTATCTTTAGTGTAAAATCATACAACTTCTCAACAATAAGCTATTCTAGAAGGGACTAAAGACATTGACAAAACAATCTGAGAAAAACTCATAAATGATGATAAAAACAAATCAGTAGGAGAGATCACTCACAGTCCGAGTATGGTGTGATGCAAGCCTCCATTTGGACTCCCCAAACTGCATCTGGATCATCATCAGATTTGCAGAGAGGAGGCAAAGTACCAGGTTCTCTTGAATGGTAACAGTCATTTGTTAAAGGCTTTTGCCAAATGACGGTTTGGTTCCTCTTTGCAGCTATTCTCCAACACATGCGTCCCACAAGGGCAGCCATCTCTCTCCATATCCTGAGATCCTCTTCATCCTGCGCATAGGCTTCTGGAGAAGAGTAAGCAAAATAACCTCCTGGTCTCAACAGCCGGTCTAGCTCAAGAAGAAGAATCCCGTCTCTTTGAAGCCAATCGATCCTACAACGGGAACAGTGAGCAAGTTCAAAAGACCTGCTCGGATAAGGAAGCCTCTTGGTCCCTAGAACACCAAGATACGCAGGAATTCCTCTTTCTAGAGCAAATTGGATCTGGTTTTGATGCACATCATTTGGTGCTAAGGACATTGCTATGATATCAGATGACAGAAGATAGGCACCGAAACTTGCAACTCCACAGCCAACATCAAGTACCATACGCAATCTTCCTTCATTGTTCAAATTGTTGTTTGAAAAGTTGAGCATCTGCCAATTTCAAATTTACATATACATTACTGCTACATCCATGTGCTACAACAAAATTGTAAAGTTCCAAAAAGAACAATCATTCCACATTGTAAACGCAAGATATGTAAGGAATTTAGGAGAAAGTGTCGTGCTTTTCATGCTTCTTTGAGGGATTGACATAGGCCAGATATCTTACATTTGCAATTGAAGCAATGTACTTATCAGCGCCGTAATGAAAATGTGTGCCTCCCCCAGGGAACTCTATTCTTTCACCTTTAACAACCATCCAGTTTTGATCAGATTTCTCGTGTGCAAGGTGAGTGTGTGGTATGTTTGCTTTCCACACTTCATCTCTGCTCTTTGGCCATTTGATTGGGATCTGTACATAAAAAAACGGGGAAAAAAAAGAAACAAAGTTACGTATTGAATCTAAGAACAAAGACATAACTGTAATAACAATAATATATTCGGCAGGAAACCTAGTGTCATCTTTAGCAAATCATTACCTTGTAACCCAACGGAGGAGGGATCAAGCAATTGTACCGCCTTTCTGGAGGAGGGCAATGCCTTTCATAGTGCTCCATCAGAGACAGGTCCAGCTTCAATCTCATTTGGTATATTAGATTTCTGTCTAGGCAGGGAATTAATTCCGAATGGCGATCATCGCAAACCTTTAAAATCAGAATAGAGAAAAAAAGAATTCTCATCATTTAGTGTTAAAAGAGAAACTCCCAGGACAGAATCTGAGTTTTCTACAAAATTAAGATCGGCAATTTACGACTTACGGGGAAGCTCTTCGGTGTAATCTCATCCACCCCATCTTCCTGCCCAAACAATTTTGTCGACGATTCCTGTTTGCCACCGGTTTCATCATCCCCACCCAAGTACCCAAGCTTTCTCAAAGATCTGCTGCCATACTCTATAGCAGACGCACCATGGCTCTGAGATCCGAAGATGGATCCATAGTACGCGTACAGGAAACCGAGAAAGATCGCCACAACACAAAGAGAAGTGATTAAACGCCTCTTTTGCGTTCCATCAGATCTTCCCCTCATCATTTACGTCGATTTCCGATTTACAGCACCTCTTTAAGAATAAAAACTCACAATGCAAATCTCATTTCACAAAAGACACCATTCAAAAATTCCCAGTTAACCTTGACCTCTCACAGCTCCAATACAAAGAACAACAGCACAAGTTCTAATGATTTTCCTGTACAGGTCCAACCAAACAATCTTAATAAAAACTTATATACACATATATACACACAAAACCATATCATATTTCCTTGAAACTGACAGTTCAACAAAGTCTTGTAAAAGAAAAAGGTATTCTACCAATAAGCCGTTAAAATTCCACCAAGTTATTAATTTCCCATTTGATTGGAAGAAATGAAAACAGCTATGGAAATCATATACCACCAATAGCTACACCTAATTAATCTGGTGAAAAAGCACTCACTGTTCACACACGGGGTGGAACATAATAGTTGTGCACAAGTCCACCATAAACTAATCCAAGTTTAAGTGGAAAACTTTGCATTTATTAATGATTTCCAAAATTCCGCTATGGAAATCATATACCACCAATAGCTACACCTAATTAATCTGGTGAAAAAGCACTCACTGTTCACACGCGGGGTGGAACATAATAGTTGTGCACAAGTCCACCATAAACTAATCCAAGTTGAAGTGGAAAACTTTGCACTTACTAATGATTTCCAAAATTCCACTCAAAAATCCAAGCACTAATTACAAAGCAAAAGATAATGCTCTTTTTGACAAGCGAGTAATGAAAGTTATTTGTGCCGACAAAAAAGTTAAAATTAAAATAACAAAAGAAAAGGAATTACGGTTATTACAATGGAGAATCGGATATGTTTCAACTTAAAGATCTAGGATAGAGATCCAAAGAGAGTTTGTAACTATGCATTTAAAAAAACGTATTTACATTAATTAAAACAATAAAAGAATCACGTTCTTCATTTATATCCAAGACCCACCAAAATTCATAGATTTAATGAATAAAACCGACAAAACCAAGAAGATCCAGACTGCGAAATGAGCCAGATCCAGCAAAAGAATGAATAATTTTAAGCCAGACCCAGAAATCTAAACGCCCCAGATAATCAAAGAAAGAAGAGAAATACCGCAGAAATCTTACCGAGTCTGGATTCTGTCACCAGAGATCTAAACGAAACGTTGAGTCAGTTGTTCCTAGAGAGAGAGAGAGATTCAGATCTCAGAGTTGGTTTAGTTTACTATATTTGGATGGAAAGAAGGAAAGAAAGAAAGAAAGAAAAAGGCAAATACAGACTAGCGAGAAAGATGGGTACTTGACTAAGTAGGCTGCTTGCGAGTGTAACACTGGCACAGCACTGTTATGTCGTGGTCGTTATGGTCCATTCTGCTTCTTTTTTTTTTTTTTTTTCCTTTCTTTCTTTTCTTTTTTATTTTTATTTTTTATTTTAAATTTTTTTGTCAATAAATGCATTTTGTCTTTCATCTATCTCTCTGGATTTATTCTCCTGCTTCTTCCAAGATTTATGATTGTGGTGTTTCAACGTTAGTTCTGTTTTTTATTTTTAATTATTATTGTGAGGAGGAGTTGTTTTAATCATTGATTAAGTTTTTAACAGTGTGCTTTATGAGTATTTATATAAAAAATTTATAAGAGATTCGTACCAGTGTACAGTAAGTTGAGATTTTTTTATTCATTAAATTTATATTTATTTTATTTTTACGTGATTTTATATAAATTTAATAATTAAAAATTTTAATTTATTAATATGTTAGCGTACTAAAAAAAGATTTATAATGCAAGAGATAAAAATGCTCTTATTTAGATATTAGATTGTTGAAAAGTTAGTCCAATAACTTAAATGACAATAAGGTAGATAAAAATGCTCTTATTTAGATATTAGATTGTTGAAAAGTTAGTCCAATAACTTAAATGACAATAAGGTAGTGAAAAAGGATCAGATTTTTTGTATCTTAATTGATGTCTGACTAATCATATTATGTCATATCATTCTATGATAAACACAAAAGAGTTAAGATAAAATGATAAGTACAAAAGCAGTTTAAATATTTTACCCAATGTGACATGATATGATTGGTTAGATATTAATTAAAACACTAATGACATGTTTACTTATCTATAATCGGAGTGGACAGGATTTGGAGTGGACATGAATCAGAGTCAGGAATCAGAGTCAGAATAAGATGTTTACTTAGGTTATAGGAATCGAAGTCGAAATCAGTCTCAATCTCATTCATGCGTTTACTTATACCTAGAATCGAAATAAACTGTTATAAATTTAATTACCTACTCTTTTAGTAGATTTTTGTGTGTTGAATTTCAAAAAAAAAAAATAAAGAAATTGTATATTATGCTAACTATCTTAATATTAAGATAACTAATTAATAATTATATTTTTTTAATCACACCTAATTGATAATTTAAATTATTTTTTCTCAATAAATTTTGAAATAATTTAAAGAAAAAAATATAATGATGAAATAAAATAAGAACACTTAAACCCCACGATTAAAAATTTTAAGGATGTATCCCTTCTTGAGTTGACTTGAAATGTTGTAGAATACACGTAGCATATCATGCCTCGTTGCCAAAATATTAGTGGCATCATATACTTGATCATCATCTAAGCCATTAGTTTTCATCATTTCTTGATACAAGTTGGCTTATAATTCAGCTAGATCCTTGTCAGCCATGGAAAGCACATCAATAAGATTATCTAATTTGTTAGTAGAATTAAAGATTAAATCATAATTCACATTTACTATCAGGATTGCGAGTACCAATCCCGTGGGAGTGGGGGGAATGCCAATCCTATTGTTCAACTCTAAATTAGTGTATGACTCACACATTCCCACTTCCATTCCAAAATAAAAATGGGTAAATCAATTTCTATTCCCTACTCTTCATAAGTAAACATGTCATAAACAGAAAATTAGCAAAAAGGGCCAATTCCTACCGATTGAAATAGATATAGCGGTTAAAAAGTGAATTCTTCTATGAATTTTTTATACCCTATTGTAGACTTTTCTTTTCCTTTTCATGAGATTTTCAGGAGGGGGCATGAAAAACTCTCTATTAGCCGGTTCTGTTTGAAAACCATCATATATGTAACATATGTTTGAAAACCATCATATATGTAACATGTTTGAAAACTATGTCAATTTTTATTCTGTCAGTTTTTTTTTTTTTTTTTTGACTTGATTTTAACAAAATCTAAAGCTTAATTTTTTTAATAGCAATAAAAAATTAAAGTATTTCATGAATAATATTAGTTTAGATTTTTCACTCTTATATTAAGAGTTACAAGAAATTATTGTTCTGATATCTTTCTTGTTACTTGAGTTTAGATTTAGATAAATGTAGCTCTCTTGTGATTTTTGGGGATTTAAAATATCTTTTTTCTTGTTGACATTAAATGTTTTCTTTTTTTTTTTTTCTTCCTGTTTTACATCTATTAGTCATCATTAATTCCGTATATCCAAGCATAACTAGGGTTTTAATACTTCATAAATGAAAACAACCAGTGAACCATTTATAAGTCTAACAAGTTTAATTAAAATCAACTTGAGATTCAGGGTAAAATAAACAAAATCAACTTGTTACTGAAATAAGTGACCTTATGGGACGGAAGAAGATAGAAAACTTCTATTTTGTGACTAATTTTTATCATTACATTACAGAAGCTTTCCTTCTATTCCATTTATTTTACTTTCTAAAAGGCATTCATTGTATCCAAGATAATTTTTTTAATATTTTTTTGTGTATATCATGAATTATTCTGAGAATTTTTGTAAAAATAAATTAGGAGTTTTTTAAGTTGACCTATCGTATCGATAGTGCTAGTTTTTAACCGTTAAATTAAATAAAAATAATATCAGAGTGAAAAAGAATATAAAATAGTCAATTTTTAATATAAATTTAACAAATGAAATAAAAAACCACTACTAATTCATTTTTTCTACCCTACTAAAAAACTTTCAAATAAGTTTCAAGATGACCATATACATTGGTAGTATTCATATTTCATTCCCATAGCAATACTTTTTTAATTCTAAAAATTAAAAAAATACTGATGGTGTTCAATTACTGCTGCACACCAACATAGTTATTATCAGCTATCCTGTAAAGCTAGTATTGCCAGTTGCCTCCATGTCCCCACGGGTGTGGGTTGGAAATTGGAATTAAAAAAGACCTGCTTTGTTTTATATTTCTTAATTCTTACCGTATCACAACCCTCCAACCGTTTTTTCTTTTCAGTAAAAAAGAGAGGAGAATTTAAAGGGCAAAAAATAAAACTTCAAAACACTCTACAGTTAAGTCATAGTTATGAATCCCTGATTTTTATTAAATTTTGTAAAATGATCAAATGTGTTTAAATCTATTATGATTTTGATGTTATTTGAAAGTTTAGAATTGTGTCATATTAATACCTATCACATAAATGATAAATCACAAAAAGTAGTGATAGAAATACTTTTTTCGATGGATTCATGATTACCAAGGAATGCGTTGTTGATTAAACATGATGATAGATCATGGCACTAAGAAATTTAGGCCGATGATCGTTCAAGTTCCAAAGAAGAATGATAAAATTGTAAAATTTATCATAAACAGTGTATAAGTTTGTATTTTTATCCTTTATTATTGATTAATACTTTTATAGTCTAGTATAGTTATTTGACTAAAAAAATTATTAATCAAGAATAATAAGTAGACATCTTGATTCATGCACTATTAAAGAGCATTTGTCTCCATTCTTCTTCAAGAATTTGTCATCAAAATCCACGTAGTGTTATAATAATAAAAAAGTGAAAAATGAAAAATTTATTATTAAGAGTATATAAATATGAATTTTTATTATTTATTTTTTATAAATATTTTTTTATTAATGTAATTATTTAATTAAAAAATTATGAATAAAAAATAAAGGATAAAATCATTTTTATCCTTTATTATTGATTAATACTTTTATAGTCTAGTATAGTTATTTGACTAAAAAAATTATTAATCAAGAATAATAAGTAGAAATCTTGATTCATGCACTATTAAAGAGCATTTGTCTCTATTCTTCTTCAAGAATTTGTCATCAAAATCCACGTAGTGTTATAATAATAAAAAAGTGAAAAATGAAAAATTTATTATTAAGAGTGTATAAATGTGAATTTTTATTATTTATTTTTGATAAATATTTTTTTATTAGTGTAATTATTTAATTAAAAAATTATGAATAAAAAATAAAAGATAAAATCCTAATTCAAGTATTTGTCAAAATTACATTGATTCAAAAGCCGTTTTGTTACCTTGAGTTAGCTCATATCTTGGATTTTGGTTGGCTTGATTAGGCCGAAGGCCTCAACTTTAGGGCCAGATCCAACTGGAAAAGAGATATTTTGGAGGGACGCGGGAAGTTTTCAACTTGGATCGATTTCTGCCGGGAGGTGATAAACTCCTACAATTTCTGCCATGGAATATATATATTTAAAAAGTATCAATCTCAGTCTTCCTCTCTCTCTCTCTCTCTCTCCCCTCCCTCTCAGTTCCTCTGTCGGTCCGCGCCTCCCGGAGATCTTCAAAGCTGCAAAAGAAGGCAACAGCGGCGTGGCCGAAGTAGTGTGACTCCAACCTCAGGTTGTTCTCTCCTCCAACACCTTCGATCTTCTTCACAGATTGCGACGAAGTCACGAGCGGTCTGGTCTTCCCCTAGCCTCCGCTCTTCACGACGAGATTTTGAAGGAGTTATCCTCTCAGTGCTATTTTTGTAGCGAGATCTCGCAAATCTGGTTTCCGGTGCTAGTTGTGTGGGTGTATGGAGTTCAGATTGTGTGTGGTTTTTTTTTTTTTTTTGGGTAAATTACACTTTTCTCTCGACTTGTAACAAAATGTCTTCTAAATTTTAAGAATAACAAATTTTTTTTTTGAACAATTAGTCATTAGTACACGTTCCTCTTTTATACCATTGTAGTTAAATTTTAAATGTTAAGTGTCACGTTAGTAACATGTGACTTTAATTTAAAAAAAAAAAGTAATTTATTGTGTTGAATTTGAAATAAGATAAAATCTCTCGTTTTTAAAATATGGCAAAAAAAGACCAAAAAATTAGAGAAATTGAGATACCCACCCCCCCCCCC